ATTCCAGACGTTGTTCCGATGTTCAACGCTGATGCTTGGCTGCGTGGAAGATCTTGATTCGTTGAACGGCCCCAACGTCTACGCTGCCCGTTCCGGGACATACTGCTTCGTTTGTGTTGCATTCAGATTCGTTCATGTAATGGCCAATTGCTTGCAGCGGAACTTAGTGCTGCCGCGCGTCGTGTTGCAAAAATGTAAGAGCGAAGAATAGTAGAGGCTGACCCAATGCTTGAATTTCGCAAATCAATAAACCAACTGGGAAACAGGCCAACTGCAATGTGATAGCTGTGACCGATTCCTGTTGTGGCTCATTGCAACACCGCCTTGCAATGACAGCTTAAAGGTGCTTTGGGTTCATTGTCAATGGGGGGGGTTAGGGTCCTTTCCACAGCAACATAGCACAAACAAATAGATGCTCATAAACCATCGTTCGTGATTTTGCAAAAAGTGGCACAACCCGCCATTGCGCAATGTGTCGCTTTCCAAGTTTGATAAAATCGAAAAACGGAACAAAGCCGGCAATGCATTCCGTCAGTCAGAATGCAGACGCGATACAAGCAGAGTCTTTTTGCTTTGAACTGCTCCAAGGGCCGCAGTGGCCTGTGATGCGTTTGAAGCATGGCAAACCTTGACAGTATTGAACAACATAGTATTTTGTTCAATCATGTCAGGGTTTGTCGGCCCATTTGGATCCTTTGACCTGCTGTAACACTCCATTTCAGTCTTTGATGTGAGGTACTGTTTGTGAAGAACAACTTCGCAATCCCTGCCGTCCAATGTGTCGCAGGCAGAGCGAACTGGACAGATTGCGCCGGCTCGAGGACTCTTCCTTTCCATTCGTTTGCGTTGTCGCGCCGAATGAGGGCACCTCCAAATTGGTGTTCCTGATATCCTTTAAGCAATGCAGGACAGACGTGTTCACAGCATGCCTCAGCTTTTCGCCCCTAGGAGCGCGTCCCGCTCACGGAACAGTCGCTGCAGGCGCGGGGGCGGGCCGGGGTGGCTGGTTTTTACAGTGTTTCATATCAATAAGACTAAGGAGATACTGAACATGGAGGAAATTACAGTTGATGAAGAATGGAACGCGAAACTTGGTTGTCCTTTGGTTTAAAAGGTTAACCCTTCGGGGAAAACAGTTTTTTGACTGATTTGGCAAAAGCGGGCCATCGGGGATGCTTCTTGGAAGACCACTAACCCCAAAGCTTCATGCTTTGCCCCAAACTTGTTCCTCTTCCAGAGCCGGTTTGCTCGTGAGCTGGCAGGGCAAGACAGATGTTTGGACGCACCCCGGGATTTTGGGAGACTTACCTGCGGTTGGTCATCCTCCGGCTGGACAAACACAGTATCGGAACGCAGCTAGAGCAGAAACTTGCACACGGGGTCTCATCTCCCAATGAGTCTTCCATCAACCCACAATGGTCACCCCGTCGTAGTAAAGGGCCCCGCAGCCCAGCGACGAGTCCGGCGAATCCGCAGAGCAACCTCTCCAAGAGGAAGAGGTCGGAGGGGATGAGTTGATGGAAGTGAAGCCGCCTATTTCTGAAACGTTCCCAGAGCCGTTCCAGAACAGTGGGTGGCTCCGCTTTGATTTTCCGGGCTGTTGTTTTTTGCAAATTCCGACCCCACACACTTCCACGAGCACTTGGTACGAAAAACGGGGCAAACCATGATGCTTTAAGGATGCATTAAAGATGTGTTTATTTACTTTTTCTCGTTCTGTTGCACGCATAACATGGCTACTGTGCTTCCTTTTGAGGAACATGACAGGGTGGATTCAATGGAGAAAACCGGCGTCTTGGTCAAGCTGACCACAAACACTTGCAATTGGCCACATACCTGCGTGAAGAAGTTGGCCCAGGAGATGGCAATATTTCAACATCGCTTCAAGTGACCCGCAACAGGTTCGCCAGCGGGCCTGGCGGTTGCCAGATGTCGATTGTATGCCGCAATTAGTCTGAGCATGAGTTGACGTTTGCAACAGTGTTTGCTTTAAGGATCCCATGGACCCTTTTTTGGGGGTCTTGGGTCCCGCAGAATCTGGCAGGTTTTGGGCATCGCGCCCCCGCACCGCCGCGGCGGTGCAGCCCGGTGGCCCAGGTATTCCGGCCTTTCGAAGTAGTGGAAAGTGTCCCAAACCAGTTTGGCCCCAACGGAGATTGTTTAAACAAGGGGCAAGGGGTGTGGAACCATGTTTGAATGAGGGTTTAAGTTTGGCGCATCCATACTATGCCGGCCTTTTCCCAGTTGTGCTCCGTGTGTGTTTTGCGTCTAGTTGTTTGCTAGGCAAGGGAGAAGGGCGACTCTCAGAATGTCAATCTTGTCAGCTTTGAATGCATTTGGCTCTCTTCTGTGCTGATGTTGCATGGCGTTGCCGCCACTCAACCATGATTGCCCCAACACAAGGCTACAAACCAGCAGAACAGGCGGCGCATTGCACTCAGGCAGTTTCCTGGTTCTCTATATGCATCTTGCTTCAGGAAGCCCTTTGCTGAGGCGTCAAGCAATGACCATCCAGGCAGAGAAACTAGGGATGCGAGATTGCCGCCCAAAAAGTGCACCCAAACAAAGGTCGGAATGTCACATGGCAGAACTGTAAATGGTTTGAGCTTACGTTTGTTTATTGCTGATTCGTGCACTCGTGCTTCAACTGTTTGCTCCTCAGGGAACCATTTGGCTTTCCCTCTGAGCAAAAAGCGAGGCCCTCGTTGGAGCCTTCGGCTTTCGTGCCCACGCTGGGCGAACTTTCGCTTCAACGGCCTTGAGGGGTCTGCCCCAATCCATCGGTCCATCCTCTGAGGGTAAAGCTGCGCGGGAGCTGCAAAGCCTTTCAGATGGCCAGGCGGGAGTGTGCGACTGGGCGGGGATGGGATACAGGTTACAGGCATTTATACGCCAGCGGTGAGGAACGACGATAAACATATGTTTGTATATGTATGTACGTGTACAATATCTATTTATTTTTTTGGCCGACAGGACCACATCTGTATACATCGCATCTTGGCGACTCGTGGTAGCCTGTTCACGCACGTGCGATCTTGGAGCCACATGACGTTCCCCCAGAAATCCGGACTTTCTACCTTTTTGGGAAGGCCGTGTCTCTTGGTCAACCAACAATGTGAGTTGCCCAACCCACTCGGACTCAGGAAGTGAGGGACACGTATTTTTGGTCCGAAGTGAGACTCGGATCAGGTGATTCTGGACGTCCAGAAGTCCCATGGGGGCTACTTCCCCGCCGTGGCACCAGGCAAGTGGCTTGGAAAGCCGACAGAGTGTTGGACAACTATTTTCCTCTTTGGGAAAGCCCCAGGTGAATTTCTATGCTTGGAAAGAAGGTAAGTGGGTTATCATGCCATTAAATGCGAGAGCTGATTTGCAACCAGGGCTGCAAGTCACTAAGTAGGTTGAACATCGGAGTGGGTGAGAGAAAAGAAAACGGCACCCAACGGCTCGTCGGCAGCTTAGTTGGTTCAACGCGTTTCGACTTGTTGGACCTTTTGGCTTGAACCAGGAGTCATGTGTGATCTACCTTTTCTTGAAAACCCGGGTTGACCAATTCTAGCGCGAAGATGACGCCTGGTTTCAACCAACTTTGGTCGAACTGGTTCGTCTCCAAATCGGCAGCTTTGGAACGAAATAGATGGTATGGATGAAGGGAAGGTGTCCCGCACGATTTCTACTTGCCACACCCATTAGTTATGATTTGTAGGGACGCTCTACGCAATGGTTGGTCGACATACATCCCCTAAATGCTGTCCACCAAAGCGTCCCCAATTACATTTCATACCCATATGGCCCCGCTATGACACCCCATATGGTCTAAGACGAATTGGGGACCTTCTGAAGCTCCCTTGTATTTGGGCATGGCTTGCAACAGGGTAGCTGCGTTCGTTGTTTGAAATTATATCAACTCAGGCCCCGCTCTCTGATTCCAAAAGTTGATCCATCGTCAAACGCCACCCTGTCATCACGGTGACATGAGTATGTTGACTCGTTGACACATCGTGACTGATTGGGGTGTACAATAGTTACACGTTCGAGTTAGATCCTGAATTGAACCCGTCTGTCCAAGATGAAGGGGGATGGTATGCAGACCTGATTGATTGAGGCAGACTTCAGGATCCAGGCGGACAAGCACACAACAATGTGTCTTGTATTTGGAACGTGTTTTTCGCTCCAGTCCAGCTGCCGCCTTATGGCTGACCCCCATCCAACTGATCGGGGGGTTCATGCAAAGCAGTTACTGACATGTTGCGCTACAGCTGAGTTTGCTTTCGAAGTAGTCCACAACCCGAATGTGTCTAGCTTAGGTCCTTGTTGTCAGTACTTCCCTTTCCCACCGTCCCAAAAGGGCTCCCTAGCTAGAACACACACAGAAGCGATGGAGCAATGTTTGATGCGCTCGGGAAAATTGAAGTCATGGCACCCAAGAAACATATTCGGTGTGCAACAATCCGACAGGAACAAACAAATACAACCCTCAGGCCGAGTTGGACCCTACAGCGGGCTATCATACTCCCCGCAACATGCGCAACTTACCTGGCTGGGCCAACAACAGTCTAACCAGTGCTACTCCCAAAGGGCGGGCGCAGTACTTCGATTTTTCGGAAGGGGGGTTCGCTCAGCTTCAGCTTGCTGATCTCGACCCCGAAACTGACACCGCTCGCAGGCGCCAGCTTTTCCCGCTTCGGCCTGGGCTCGAAGAGCGGCTCTGAGGCACAGAGCTCTGCTTTTTGACCTTTTGACCTGTTGGTTTCCGATTTTTTTTAGTGGCCCCCAAAGCTTAGCTGTCTATTTCTGCAACAGTGAGTTGTTGGTTCTTGATTCTCTTTCCTTATATAAAGGTTTGGAGATTTGCTTGCAGATCAGAACTGGTGAGGGGCTTGAGTTGCTCAACTCTTGTCAAAAGACAGCCACAGCAAAACCGGTGCGCTTTCCTCATGGCCTCCGGATGTCTGGGCCAAGTTAGATGGGCTTACTAAACCAGGGCCTTGCGGCGAACTCACGCAAGCGGCTTGCGACCTCACCCGTGATGTTCCTGTTTTGATTTTAGGTCCGTGCAGTATGGTACAGAAATTATGGTTGCTACCCTCCTCCAGTACTACCACTGCTTTGGCATCAAGTTTCGGCTCCGGCCGACCTTTGAATCTGCCAGACCACAGGATTTGCCAAAGTGTGCATCCGACAAACCATTAAGCAACCCCTGTGAACTCTGCACGTCAGATTATAGTTTGAAGCTTGGATCACCTCCGCCATTGGAGAGACTTCTGGATTCGCGATTTCGGATTTTTGCGGAATCGACACAAAGTTCCCTGCCAGTTCAGTGCGCACCTTGCCAAGCTGGGGGACAGTGATTTTTAGACCTTCCGATTGAAGTTGTTGCTCGCAAGGTTGAAGGCGGAGACATTGAATGTTTCCTTTCGGTTTGTATCTACTCAGCACTCTTGGTGATTCACAGTTCGTGCAGGTTAAGTGTGCCCCCTGCACCAGACGTAGTTCAACCATGCGTAGTGCTGCAAACTGTTCATCGTTTGCAGAACATCACAAGCACATGTTGGAGGGTGAATGAATATCATCTACTCCTACAAGTCTCAACATGAACTCCCATCGGGCCCAATTTTTAGGCCTCCCTTTTTCCGAGAAGCTTTGCTTCCATAGCTGTCAAGGGCGCTCCAACGGGTCCCCGCAAACCCTTTGTGCGAATAGCTGCGGGGCCAGCCTTTTTGACATTACAGTGTAGTGCAAAAACTGGTAAAATATGGAGCGCAAGCTAAACATGACAATTTTGGTGTGTATGTGTTGAGGGACCCCCCCCCCCAAAAAAAAAAAAAGGAAGAAGAAAGAAGTGGGGTTCCCTTGGTTTCCCTTTGAGACCATCCGAACCTCAAAGACCGACACCCCCCATTTAAGTTAGGTTTGTGCGCTGCCCAGAAAGTTGTTTGAGCCTGACTCCTGCAGACGAAGCCGCGGGATGTGCGGCCGGCAGCCCTGCAGGCAGGCGGAAGTTCCATTTACCAGGAGAGTACGGCAAAAAGGGAGCATACCTACCACATGAAACTCGGTGAGGGGGTGACCCCAGATCTCCATTGTAGTTCCATGTTCCCTTTGTGACAAGAGAAAAGGAATTGGGGGACCCCACACCCCCTCCCCAAGGTAGGGGGATAAGGCAGTGTTTTTCAACCCAGGTTGCTCTTTCTGCACTACCTTCCTGGGCAAACATGTGTATAGCCTCCCAACGAATATCAAATTCGGCTGCTGTGGCCTGCCAAGTGAGACGAATGAAGCCCTACTGGGACAAACCACTCGCGCCCTATCTATGGCAATCTTATCCCAACAATTTGGCAACAGAACCATCCGAGCAGCAAGGAGACATTAATGTGAGAAACAACTGCAACCATTGGTACCCCGACGCGAGTGTTCCAGATGTCCTCTAGTGGACAGCCAAGAGGTATGGGTTGGACAGACGACGGAAGCATAGCGAACAAGACAAAGCCAAACACAGGCTAAGTTAGAACCACTGGCTTTGGAAGCGACTTGAATTGACACATGCGTGCAAACAAAAAGAAACACACACACATGTGTGTGTGTGTGTATCAGGCTTGTATCTACTATGTTGCTCTACATTTGTACATGTTGGCGCGGACACTTCCAGGAGTTTCCAAACGCCTCCAGCCAGCTTCTAGAGTTGTTGGTTTCCTTGGGTGAAGGGAGGGCCTGGCCAAAAGCAATCACGCAGGCTGCCATCCAGCCCACGTGCTAAGAGATGCCCTCGCCAAGCGCTGTGTTACTTATTGACAGAAACGATTTGTACCGGCTTCTGAGACAGAGCTTTACCTGTGGGAGTAGCACAATGTAGCGCACTACAATTCGATGACAAACACATGGCCCGCAGTTGTCACATTTGATGTTCGCGACGTGCAGTTTGCAGATGCTGATCTCTAATTACCCTCAACACCCATCCCAATCCCAGAAAGGATGGGCGCTGTCTATGAACACCGCTAGTCCTACAGTAAGTTTTTTTTGAGGGGCCATTACATTGAAAGCAACTAAGAGACAGGCCAATGCAGGAGCACAGCTTTGCAGCCCTAGCTGTGACGTGTTTGGGGAGAAGAGCAGGTGAATGTCGCCATATTTCTTCTTTGCTCAGAAATATGGCTACGTTTTTTTTTTTTTTTTTTTTTTTTTCCGGGGGGGAAGGGGGGAGGGACCCTTTTCCGGTTGGTTGAGCGGGAAGCCTACAGGAAACCCAATTTCGGGGTCCCCCAATGTTAAGACAGACACGTATGTGTGCTTTTGTTGTCCATCATATAGGAACCACAGAATCTGGTGCCAAATAGCACTCATTTTGGGGTAGCCCACTCGGACGCCAACAAAAACATATTACAAGCTACAGAGATGGGATTGTCTTCGAAGCGGGGGAAGCTCCAAAATGCGAGGTTTTCCGGCGGTTGTCTTTCATACAACCCAAACAATGGGTACCCTCAAAGCAAGACACACCGATGTATATAATATGTAGATTATATATATATATATATATGTATGTACACTATACACTTCTACACACAACATGCGTACGTGCTTTGCAGGCTGTAGCTGCTCATCTCCGCACGCTGCTTGCATTGGAGTCGGAGGCGGGTGTTTGACCCTGGGCACTGGTTGATTTGTTTTCGTGGACAAGCAGAAATCTTTGAAGCTGACGAGTGGATGAGTTTGCTCATTGAAAGACTACTTCCTTGAAGCTTGAGGAGTTGAAAGATTGCTAGTATTCTCAATCTTTGAAGCTTGAAGCTCTTTGAGAGACGATTTTCCTTTGAACAAGCCCCCCGTCCACTTTTCCAGGTTTGATAGAAAGGGCACCCCAGTTTGGGACCCTGGCACCAAAGGTTCAGACCAGATGCGCGGGACATGATGACGGGGCTAGCGAGAATGATGCTAAACCGAGCTTGGCAGTGGCAGGCCCTAGACCCTGCATGTGTAGCTGGAGTTGGGTATAAGTAGTGGCCGCCTTACAAGGAATGCCCAACGAGAATGTCAAAGCAGCAGAGGTTTCTGCTTCAACATGGCAGGCATGGTTGGCATGATTCCGGTTCTACGCTCCTTGGATGGTTGAAGTTTAGTTACAAATTCCAAGTGCACTCCGCTTCGTACGCTTGCGATTGGCGCCTGAGGTGGCAGTTTACTCAAGAACACGCTGCTCAGCATGAAGTCCCCGCATGGCTTGCTCTCTGAAAATCGCGATCCCTAGAATGGGAACAGAAAGGTCTCCATGAAGCTATGTCTTCAACGTGACTATGGGCCTAAACCAATTGAGCAGCGCCCATTCTTAAATGTGGGTTGTAGTAAGGCCGATACAAACCTTTAGAATCTTGGAAGCACTAAAGGTCACTGAGTTTCGGGTGCTCAATTGACCCTTTGGGCTAGGAACTGACACGAGCCGACCTGGAGCGGTTTTCGGTGCCAGAAAGCCGGGGAGGGTCCTCAGCCGCTGGATCCGCAGAACCCGCCAGCTCCGGCTGCGGAGTGAAGCCATCAGATCTCTGCGATCTGGCCCTTGCAGCGCATGTGGCGTCCCACTTGGGGGGTTTGGCCACGCCCCACCAGCAGCACCCCCCCCAACAACTGCTTTCTACCAGCCTTACTCTTCCTCTCTTTTCCAGTTACAGCTGTCACGGCGGCAGGTCGCCAAGCTCTCGGGCACTACGGCATTCACCACACAGCGCAACCATCCTCCGCAGATTTACATGGAACCCAGCAAACATGCATTTTGAGAGAACGTCCTTGTTGGGTTGTGGGGCGCTTTTCTTTGGGCAACCCAGGCTGATTTCATTTTAAAGGTTGTTAAAGTATGAAAAGTAGTCAGCAAATATATATATATATAATATGTTTTTTTGGCGTGCCCCAAGCTTGGGGCAAGATTTGCACGGGACCCAAGTTTCGATCGGCAGGCGCACTTCCGACCCAAGTCGGAGACCGTAGACAGCCACCAAACTAGGCAGATGGAGGCGCGCACGGGGAGCGAGTGGATGGGGAATGCCATTGACGTTGTTAGATTGTATCTTGGGCCAAAAATCTTAACATGCCAATACCTTAAAAGAAGGTGACTGGGCCCAGTTTGTTTGTTGCTTGGGATGGGCAAAATCCCAGAACTGGGGTGGATGAACAAAACCGACTGGATCTGGAAACCAAAGTTGAGGTCGAAAGAGCCAGACCCGAACGCCCCCGAAGGGAAGCAAAGATGTTCAGAGAATTCCAACCCTGGGATGTCCTTCGGCAAACGGATTTTCTTGTGTTGCGTTGTTTTTGTATGATGTTCTCATTTAGAGGGCTCTTCTTTCATCAAGCCACTCCGATGAGATGACAATGCCTTTGGGTCTTGGGAATCTGCTTCCGACGATCTTTTGCTTATTGAAGTCCTGTTGGATGGTTGAAATTACGCCCCTCTCCCCCTCCAAAAGGCCAGCTTCATGTTGGTTTCCACTTGAAATGAGCGAAACCTTCTGTCCCTAGTTTTGAGGCACAAGGCACACTCATGTGCTGTAATGGTTCACATTTTTTCCCGGGTGCTGATAGTTTTACTTCTCTTGGAGACGCACTCAAAGACCCAAGAGCAAACCAGGTTTGAAAGCTTACTCGAAACCCAGTGAAAAATCGGCTGTGTGTGTTTCAACTAGCCGCTGCGACAAGAAATGGGTCTCAGACTTGACCCGTGCATACTTTAGCACAGAGTTGCTCCCTCAACTTGTGCCGCCGACTCTGTTGTGCAAGTGCTGTAACCCCTGCCTGCTATTACTGGGATCGAAGCTCATGGTATTGACTCGATACAATGCAGCATGTAGAATGATTTGACTTTCCCCCCCAGGGTTTGGCTGTCCAAAGACTACGTTTTGCTGCTTCAGATCTGCCCATTGCATTTCACATGTTAGCTGTTAGCGGATCAAAAGCATGATAGTAAAAAAGAAGGGAGACAGTGTGAGGGTGTGTCAGAATACGGGACCCTCTAACTGGGTAGTTTCCTTTGGTTGCATAGGGCTAGCTTGGAACACACAACCCCATCAAGGGGCTGTGAAATTGGTGGCGCCAGACCTTGAGGATTGATGACCACGTTGAAGCTACCGGGATGCGCAGATAGAATATTGTGTCCCCACACATTTACGACAAGACACAATATATATATAGACGTACATATGAACGCGCACAAAGATGCCTAAACGTACAATGGGCTTTTATTGCAAAGGGCTTGAGCTCCCAACAACGGGCCAGCAATGGGGCGCAGAAGGCCCAAGAGTACTGTGCACACACACACACACTGACTAACATATAATATGTGTGCGTGTGTCTCTGAGCTGTGGCAACCAGTGGCTGGACACCAACTCATGTAATTAAGAGAGAGACCCAAGCCACGAAAGACAGGGTTTGTGGGAATTGTGGTGTTTTTGCCACTCCTGTGACAACCAGTGAATTTCCCTTTGGACCAACTCGTCGCTGTGAGCTTCTTTTTTTTGCCGGCGAGTACTCAACCACACATGCAAACAGTGAGCATCAACCAGCTTGGCACTTCCTCTGGTGTTCCAAGAGGTCCTTCGATGTGACAAACTCTGCAACAGGAGGGTTCAATTCCAACCAAAGATTCCTGTTGTTTTGAACGTGCCCTTTCACAGCCCAGGCTCTTAGTCCGATTTTGAGGGCGTCCCCTTTTGGCCCCAAACCCCCAGCTTTATTCGGCAACGAGTCCCAGGAAGGTCTTTTATTCGAACCCCTTGGGCGGGCTGAGGGCAAGTCCCGAGGCCTCCCTTCCATCCCAAAACCCCGCAACAAATTCCCGACTCACCAGCTGCAGGGTCTATCTCAAAGGAGGCGACCTTAAAAACATGTTTAGTTTTGTTTTCCAAAACCAGCCAACACTGGCTACCCTCAAAAGATGATATATACTATATATATATATACATATATATATATATATACATAGATGACGGGTGACGTGAAGCGGTCGACTGCTGCGCATATCTAATTACAGATTGCGTGATTTTCGTAAATACTTTTAAACTCGAAAGTTGCCATGTTTGCTTAAACAAAATTAATATACTTGTACACTGAAGCGTTTTTTTTTGTGAGCTGGAGCTGCCCGGGAGCACACTTCAAGTTCTACTTGTGCATAACTAAAGTTGGCTGCGGTTTTCAAGTTGAATATTCAATCTGTAGCTGCGAAAGTATACTTTGCGTACTGCTTTTGTATTTATAGTTTCACTTTCGAGGCTCCAGCTGCGGGAGCACTGCGCGTACTACTTTCGTGGTTGAAGATTGCAATGTTCGAGCCGCAGCTGAAGAAGAGGCTTCATGATTTCGTACTTAAAAGTTGTGATGTTCAGGACGCAGCTGGGAGAGTGAGTCTCTGAGTGTACTTCGCTTGCAGCCTTCGCACAGCTGGACAAGCGTACTTGGCTTACTACTTCGTACTTGAAAGTTGTGATTTTCGAGCCGCAAGTGCGCACGAGGGCGAGAGCGCTTCGACGAGCGCATCAATCCGCCCATCCCCGCAGAGGGTTTGCCAAGGCCAAGACAAATTCGAACGGCGCCACCGCAAGAGCGCTTTGACACGCACGATCTTCATCGCGCTCAGGCAACACAAATTCGCGCAACGCCATAGTGAGACCGCTTTGACACGCGCGATCTCCGCAGAGTGTGCATCGCGGCCAAGACCCTTTCGCACGGCGCCCCAGCGAGATTGCTTCGACATGCGACAAGCGATCTCCTGAGAGGTGCACCGCGACCAAGACACAATCAGGCAGCGGTTGTTTCGGGGATGTCTAACAAACGAAAAAGGTCAGGCGAATTTCGCGTAGGCTTGCGTTGGCATGACGTCTAAGATCCAACTGGAGGGCGGTTCCGGGCTCGTCCCCGCCGCATGAGCTGGAGCTGCCAAAGTTACTCTGGGCAGTGATAGAAAGCGGCGGGTTTCTACCTCTACGCCACTTGTGCTGACAAGTTGCGATGTTCGAGCATAGCTGCCAAAGTGTTTGCGTGTACTACGCTTGCACTGGCAAGTTGCATTTTTGCCCAGCCCTAAATGTGTTGATCCGCGCCGTCGCGGAGGCGCGTGGGAGGCAGGCATTTAGGTATTTCGGTCTCGTGGCCGTTTGTGCGGCAGTGGTCGCTTTTGGCGTGTGGCGGAAGCAAGTAAAGAACTGATAAGGCCCCACTCAGCCACAAAACGCAGCCCCAATGGCCCCACTCAGCCCACAAAACGCAGCCCCAATTGCAGCGTTGCAGCGAGAGCGCTTCTGGGCAGAGGGGCGCGCTTCGATAGCCCCCCGTTGGGGCTACCCGGCATAGAAAAGAAGAAGAGTCAAGGCTCAGGAAGAGAAGGTGGAAAAGAACAAGTTGGCTTGTGCTTGTGGAACGTGAAGTAACGCCCGACAAGTTCCCTGGCAGCTTTTGCTTTTGTATTTTAGGATACTGATGTTAACTTGTTTTTAGGATAGTGCAGCAACACGCGAAAAGTTGGCAAGAGAAGTTGCCAGGCGAGGCTTGCATTCGTATGCTTCCAAGAGTGGAACCCCCTCAAAAGTAGGCAGCCGCCCTCGCAAACCCAAGAATGCCATGGCCTCTTCGCGCCTTCCCGTTAATCTCAGTGTGTGGCTGCGGCCTTGCGCCAACCTCCGGATGCGCCATTGCTGGCTGAGGAGCGGTGCAGCTGAGCGCCCCAACACCTGTGACCATTTGGGCGTTTGTCAAAACGGAAGATGCTTGGATTGCTTGATTTCCGTTTTTCTTTCCTTGTCACAGGCAGATTTGCCTTTTGACCCCGCAAAACAGACTGACCCATTTCTTAGCAAGCCAGGGGAGCCGGCCTGAATCTTACAAGTTTCCCAGCGACGGACAGACTGGCAAGAGGGCACCAGCGCTGAGACGACCGGGACACAGCTGCTACAGGGTTCAGTCTAAGAAACTGAATTGCAAACGGGCTGACTGGAGAAACAAAGTGTTGTTCGGCTTTGCGGGCGTCCAGAAAGAAGGAACAACTTAAAGGCTTGGGTCTTCCAAAGCAGCTATTTGGAGGGGCCGGCCCTCTCTAAAACAGTGCCCCTGCGAACCTGAAACCAGGGCTTTGCCAAGTAAGGGGCCTTCAGGTCTCTCTCCTCAGCTTCGTTTTAAAAGTCCTGTGTTGAGTTGGTCAGCTCGAGGAAAGCGTCGTGTAGGCTTTGCTTTTCCACGATCTAAAGGAACACCAAAGGAGAACCCGCCGCTTTCAGCTCTCCGTCAAAAAAGAACATCAACACGCATTGCCCTCTACATCTCGGGGGCTTGGCTCGAAGCCACTTGCGAACCCGCAGCTTGTGAAGGAACTGCCCAATGAGCGCAGAGGTCTGTTGACCCCGTCAGAAAATGGAGGGCCCCCCAACGGGCAGCTTGAGTCCAAAGTCTCCCAAACTCTTTAGAGCCATTGCCCCAAGGTCGCAAGACTCCGTTCTTCGGACGTTCGTTGGCGTTTCGCAGACATTGGCTTCACAAGGCAAATCTTGGGAACAGTGACAGAGCTCAAGGCCAAAATTGGAGGTGATAAACTATCGTAAACAAAGGCGCAGCCGCACCAGCCTGGTTCGCCATTTCATCTTGCCCCTGGCGGGAACCGCGATACTGTATGCCCGCTGGCTTGGCGCCGAGCACGCTGGCTGGCTGAACACAACGGGTATTCATGAGTTCACGAGGCAATGTCGGAAGCAACTTCTTGCTTCCGCCGGTCGGCGGCGGATTGTGTTTGCGCTGTGCTGGCTTGTAGCAAGCAGCGACGCGATTGCTTCAAGCACCCCTCGCTCTTCGGTGAGTCGAGTCGTGCTACCTTCAAAGACGCAAAGCAGCTTTGCAAGTCACGCGCTCGGTCAATTGTGTGCCGCACGTTTTTCGCGTAAAGCTGCGCAGCTTCGCGAGTTGCCCCAGGCGTTCAGAACTGCAAGTGTAGAACACCTTGGGTTGGCGACTGAAAGCAGTTCCTTTCGTTTGATGGATGTACTTGGAGGCTTTCCTGACTTGTTGAAAGTTTGCTTGGTTAGTGGAAGGATGAAAATGGACTCAATTGAGGAGAGGCCGAGCAAAAGCTCCAGACCGCAGGTTCAACACCCAACGGAACATTGCGCCTTTGGGTTACAGTTGGGTCGATCGCTCACCACATGAAGGGAATTGCGTTTCTACTTTTCTGGTCTGGTGTTGCACATGACAAAGGTAGCATGTTGCTTGGAGTTTGTTGAAACATGTGTCCAAAGTGCCAAGGACACCGCCACCTGGTCTCGGAAAAATCGGACGCGCGACGTTAGGCCCCATGGCTGGATGCTTCAGATGCTCGAGGGATGGTTTCCTAAACTGGACATCACCTGAGGCTGCGGCGTGCTGATTTTTTTCATCGTTGCAGCGGCTGGTCCGTAATGCCCAGAAACCACCAGAACACCACCACCCGAAAATGCCGCCGGAACAACCCACACACACACCAAGATGCACCAAGGCTTCAATAGGACACCGCCAGAACACCACTAGCACTCCGGACACCGCCAGCACACCAACGGAGCATTGCTGGGACACCACAAGCCTCGCCGGGCATTTTCCAGGTCGCGTCAAACCCCGTAGCTGGACTGCATTGGGGAACAGTGTGGCTAACCCACGCAGGAGATGAGAAAGGGCACCCTTGTACTTTGCTGGGCCATTTTTTTCGAGGGCCTCTGTAATTTTCGAGCTGTTTTGGGGGTCTCTGTATTTCGAGCTCACCTAAGGACTGGCAGCGTAATACTCAGCTCCGAACCTCATGGAAGCCAAGGCTCACCTCACCAGGCCCTTCGTCTCAGGAGATGACGGCCCTGCTGCTCGCGGCGTCCAGTGGCGCGCTGGACCCCTTGCCCTTGGACAAGGCGCAAAGCTGTGTGCTTCGAGCGCTTGGCAGGGTCCGTAATTTTGCCAAGCCGGCCAAGCCTTTTGGAATGACAGAAGCATCCTCTTTGATGAAACTACAACGGCTGGTTGCAAGGGGTTTCCTTTTTCGCTTGTCAAAGCAACAGCACGAACAGGGGGCTCACTGTTCCCATGTGCTTCAGCACCCCACAAATATAGGTGCGTCGACCCTTTCAGTGAAAAGCGAAAACAAAGGGAAACCGCCCAGTTGTTTGGTTCCTCTATTATTCGACCCACTCATGGGAAGAACATGGTGGGGGGGAATTTTCAGGATATGTTTTTTTTTTTTTTTTTTTTTTTTTTTTTTTCCGGGGCTTGGCCTTTCTCCGGGCTGGGTTTTGGTGCGTACAGCGTTTGTAGTTTTTGGTGGCTTTCGTGGCTTTCGCCTTCCACATCCTCAGCGTCACCAGCATCAGCATCAGCACCTCGATTGGCGCAATTATATGTGTTCTCACGCTGTGCCACCCCTCCCGCTTCATTATAGGACAGGTGTTCTGGTCGTCTTTGTGAGGACCCTATGAAGGCACCCAACCCAGAGCAAACCCTTGAAAAATCCAAAGCCACCATAAACCCACCTTTTGCTTTGTTGCGGTGTCGTGACTTGTCGTGGCTTTTCGACACTAAACCCAGCCTAAACCAACCCTCCCTAAACAAACCAGCAATAAACAATCCCTAAACCAATCCACCCTAAATCCACCCTGAACCAATCCACCCTACATACACTACGCCAATCTTACCCTACACCAACCCTAAACCCCCACAAAACCCAGTGTAACCCCACCTACAAGCACACCCAAGTGCAGCCAAACCAACCAAGCCTACACTCACCTTCGTACCTTCTTAGGAAGTACTTTCACCCTTTTGAACCTTAACCATCCTAGGGTTAAATATGAGGCTAAATCATGTCTACTGGCACACTAGAATCTCAAGTTGGTTTTAGCATACTCAACAGCCCCACTCCATTTGCATCGGCCCTATCAGTTTCGCAAGATTCCCGACTCTCAGGCCAGCAGCGCTCTCTTTGGCGGTGCGCGGCCCACTACCCAGCACCAGGGTGGGCCAGGGGGCCAGTTGAGATTGGTCAAAACGTGGCTGGTCCGGGATGGCTTTTGAAAACAGATGGCTTTTCATAAATTTACCGGCAGGATAGAAAGGTTGCTCCGGGAGAAGAGAAACCAAGAAAAGACAAGTTTCTTTTCTTGGCTGGATCCTATAGGAGTTTGGACCGTGAGAAGAGTTGCTATGAAGCAAGTCATGGAGTGGACGACAATCGGAAATCCTCTGCCGGCAACAATCCGAAGTCCTTTGGCAGGGGGCCGAGACCAGTGCGGAGTTTCTGAACGGACAGGATCAAGGCGAACTCTTGCAAAGCTCAGCTTGCTGTTCCAACCACCCGGTCCATCGAGTCGTATCCGGAGGAGGGTGCGCCCAGGGAGACTCATTTGAATGGGCCGCAAAGTGCGCATGTTTTTTGAGGGCGCTCTTTTTGGGATTGGGTAAGTAACCCAGCGGCAAACCTGAACCCAAACAAGTTGGGGAGCGAGGAGGGGGGGGGTTCTCCTTTTCAAGACACGTTCCAGCGGCGAAGAAGTTTGCTGGCGGCTTTTTGGTTTGCGATTTGGGTACCATGCAGGACAAAGCAACATGACTATGCATTTTTCACTGGGGATAGAAAACGAGCATGGTTGGTGCCAGGAGTTCAGGGGTGTTCAGGAGCGTTCAGCAAATAAACCGAACGTGGTGGGGGGGAGGGGGGATCAGCATGTGTTTGTGTCTAAGCAGTGTGGACATTCTCACTCTGAGGGGGCCGCAGGTGTTCGAACAATGTACACGACACTTTGGCTGTGGTATTTCCTGGCAATCTTCAAGAGATTTCTTCGTCAGTGGCAAGGGAGAGGACGAGGAAATCAGCTTCTGCCAAGTGAAGGTTGAAGATGATAGCTTCTGGTCTCATTGGCTCCGTATTCCTGCAGCATCATGCGCATTGAGACTAGGCGGTCGTTTGTGTTTGTTTGGGTTCTTTCCCCGTCTTGGAACCGTGTGCCGGTTTTTGTCTTTGTTTGACCGGTTCTCTTTGTCCGGAATGCGGCGGAAAAGCCATAGCTTGTTTGCCATGTTTGCTTGTTCCGGATGATTCAAGCGATTACCGTGCAGGCAAACCAAGGGGTGCTAACACCAACAGATCACCAGCAGTACCGGGGATTCCTGGCTCATTTATTCCCGTTTTGAGGGTCTTAATGGGGGGGTTCTCAAAATAGGAATCCTTAAAACTGGTTAGTCTCCGTTTAGACTCGTTTAAATGTTAATTACAAGGGGGTCCACCATTTTGAGACTCTCCAACAAACCGACTCCGATGCCTCAGTCATTCGCCCGTCCGAGGTCTCCGTTGCTCCTTCATTTGCAGGCGCCGTTTGCGAGTCAGAGAAGGTGTCACTTCTGGGTGCTTCATATTTCAGGAATGCATTGAATATGAAACAGAACCAGAAAATACTAAGACTTGTGGTTTCCCGAATGATTGGTTTCCCTTCACCCTGGAACGTCGCAGCTTTCTCGGAATCAAGCAAGTCAAATTAGATAAGTCATGGCAAAAGCAACCATTATTTGGATATGCACGTTCGTGCCAAACCTTAATATCGCTAATAAGTTCCCCTTCGCCCTTCTCGTTTTCCATGGTCTGGAAGGTGTCAAGCAAAGGTGGACACATTCCTCGGGCGGTTTAACATCAACTTTGTCCCCTTATTTCAAAGCCAACATGTTGGAGGCACACTCAAGCTGCTTGCCTCTCTCCCCGCAAAAACAACAAGGCTTTGCACTTGACTGGTGGAACCTTACCGAAGGAAGATGCCATTCGCTTCCCAGAGCAGCGAAGAAAGACTGGTACGAGATCCACCCCTGAGACCCCCTTGACCCCATTAAGCCGACGCAAGACTTAGAACCCGGACAGCGGGTTAATTTGTTTCGGCGCACAAATTGGCCATGGACCACATGTCGTCATTTGGTTGCCCCCCATGGACACGCGTTGTGTGAGCAACCTGCAACACCGGCCGGGGGGGGAGCTCAACACTAGCGCGACAGGAAGTGGCGCCCGCTGCGCTGGGCAAAATCCGGGAGGCGCGCCGGGCAATGACCAACTACCTGTTGAATGATGGCCATGAATTTTGATGGGGTGGCTGGTGGAAGTAAATACCAAAGTGATGTCCAAGGGTCCTCAATTAAATTGTGTACCCCTTTGAAGAAAAGGGTCAAAATACTTGGAAGTTCTTTTTGAACCCTGTAAACATGAAGAACCACCTGTTCAGTCATGTTCAAAAGAGTCACCATTTACCTTCAACCACCTACACACTACAGCAAGGAGTCAACGTTTGAGCAGCCTCCTGTTTGGGTGTCTTTTTTTGGGCTGTCTTCAAACCGAGTTTGTTGATCAGTATAGAGGGAATCACCTGGGATTCTAATTGCCTGAAAGGAAACCACATGGGATAGTTGACAGGGGTCATTCTCTCGTTCCCGGGACATACCGAGTCAAACGGGTTTGTCTCAGAATAGGGGAACCCTCCAAAATCTCCAAACTGGTGTTTTCCTGTTGGTCCCCTCTAAACCAACCTAAGAAAGGGTACACTCAAAAAGACAAATTGGTAGAGAAACTGTACTTGCTGGAAAGTGTCAGAAACTGGGGCTGATGCCATGGGGTACAATCGCCGTACATCCCGCTAGAACAAGAGGAGAAGAACATTCAAGAAGCTATGCAGGCTGGATGAGACGACTATGGAACAGGTGTTCCTTATCCAATCGTTTGCCATTTCATCCCTGAGGGCGCTTTTGCGCTGCAATATTCCGTTCTTAATTGTGTAAGACCTGCCCGGTAGGTTTTTTCAGCAGGGTTGTGCCCTGCAATATTTTGGTATTGCACTGGATCGCTTGGTTGTTTGAACATGGAAGCCAACCAGCAACCCATGAATCATTAGAAGCAGACTCCTTATGGATGTTGTGCAGCGAAGCCTGCAGTACTGATGGACGTATGCTACGACAGTTCGTGGTTCGTGAAGGTCTACAAGTTTCCTGCATGGCACAGATGCGCTTGGACTTTTATGCTTACTACCCCCTTTGGCAGGCAAACACACTGCTTGGCAGTGTTAGCAGGTCCCTTTTGTTCATGCCAATTCAGGACAGGATGCTGGTGATGCTTCCTGGTCACTCTTGTCTTGGCCTTGGCCGAGTGTAGGGTGTGGGTGGTGCTGGTGACTCTTCCTGGTCATGGCCGAGTCTGCCTTCTTAGAGTCTCGGTGATGCTGTGTGGGTTCTTTTCGAGTCTGAGTGATGCTGGTGATGCTTCCTGGTCATTCTGGTCCTGGCTGAGCGTGGGTTTTTAGAGTCTGGGCGATGCTGGTGATGCTTCCTGGTCATTCTTGTCTTGGCCGAGTGTGGGTGTTGGACTCTGGGTGATGCTGGTGATGGTTATTTGAGCATTCTTGTCTTGGCCGAGTCTGCGTTTGCGTCTGTGTGATGCTGATGATGCGTCGAGTGTTAGGGTTTTTGGAGTCTGGGTGATGCTGGTGATGCTTCCTTGGTCATTATGGTCTTGGCCGAGTCTGCGTTTGAGTCCGTGTGATGCTGGTGATGCGTCAAGTGTTAGGGTTTTTCGAGTCTGGGTGATGCTGGTGATGCTTAGAGTCTGGGTGATGCTGCGAGTTTTTGGAGTCTGGGTGATGATGCTTCCTGGTCTTTCTTGTTTTGGCATCCCCAGCAACGTGTTGCCCTCATGTGTTTATCGTTGTTTGTCTTTTGGTTGAACATAAAAGGGCCCCGTCAACATGTACACGCCCTGGTAGACTTGTTCACGGGGATCCCTGTATCTTCCAAAAAGGAAGCCCGGTCCAAAGGTAATGTGAGCAGCCAAATGGTTACTGAAAAGTAGTTGTCTCCTAAGATCATAGCTAAATGTGAGTTTGAACCCCATTCAGATTGATTATTTGGGTCTGTGTAGAATCAGGCCCGCCCCCCAACATATTTGGTTTCCCCAGGTTTCCCTTTAGCATCAACCCCGAAATCAAGACACACCCGCATGAGAGAACTTTGAGTTCCACTCCAAATAAGTGATGTTCCTCAAAACACGAACGAGACTTCCAAATGGGTGGGTTTTACCGTCGCTTCTCCGGTAAACGTTAAACCCAGGTAAAATCGGACGCACCCCCAAACTGGGCGGTTTTCTTTGCTTCCCGTAAACAAATCCCGGTTTTGAGCACCCCACAAAAATAGAAAGAGAGAGACCAAAAACGGTGGGCTCTCCCCTTGGTTCCTACCCAAAATCCCCCAAAACACCGGTTTCAGCCGGTAATCAACCCCCTGCTGGGAATGGCTCTAGGAGGCGCAGCTCTCGCAAACCACGCTGCGCGCACTAGAGGCGCCAAATGGGCGTGTCGTTTATGAGGGTACGCAACCTTTTTGGTTGGTTCAAGGGGAAGTCAGAAGGAAACACCACCATTCTTGGGGCATCTTGGGCTCCCCGACTGCATGGAAAAAGGGAGAGCCAAAAGGGGAGGCAAAGTGCAAAGACCCCCTTGCCAGTTTGGGACGGTCAACCGACGGTCAACCGGCGGTATGATGTTGGTCCTAGTTCCGAAAGCTTATTGATAGTTTGGTCTGGTTGAGTGACTACCAACATGAGAATCTCGGACCAAAACTAATCAAGAACTGCCGCACATGCGTGCGGGTGTTCCCATATTGAGATTTCTCCCGAACCAATGCGGCCGGGCTGCGCGTGTGGATTACCAACATGAACAAGACTGTCAGCAATGCCTACATCCAGTGGTTGACCAAGGTTGAAAAGGCCGCGTCTACCCCATCTTACTAGGGATTTTACACAACAATGGTAAGGATTCCTGATGAGGAAATCATATCTTGTCACAGATTCGGAGTTTTGACCATGGCTCATCTGAGAAACGACAATACTAGCAGGGAAAGGTTTTCCGTTGGGCCCCTCTCGGTTCCTGATGGTAATACTGGGTCCCTTCAAGTAAACTATACTCAGATATTTTTAGCATCTTATGGACCCGGTAACATGGCTGCGAATATCTATAAAGAACCACCTTCAAAAATGTTGGTGGACATGACCCCCCACTGAATGTTGATATCCACCAAAGGGTTTGGAACCCAATCAAAATTCGAGCACAAACGGGAGCAAGTGTTTGAGGGTGGGGTGTCGCAGGGTCCCCATTTACAACTCAGACCTATACGTGCTGATGCCTTGTTGAGGGTACCCTTTTTTGGCTTGGTTTGAAGGGAAACAGGAACCACCGCCATTTTGGGGTCCACTGCTCTGTGGCTCAGGTGGCTTTGCGCCTCTTTGTGAAGCTGAAGGAGGTTGAGCTCTGAATGCTTCAATTGCTTCGGCGGAATGCCAGTCGGGTGCGGAGGCGTAGGGGCCTGCCAAAAATGTGTCCCCTTTTAGATTCTCACCAAAGAAGTTCCCGTTGGCTCATTGTTGATCCTCGTTTTCGCTGGTAATTAATCGGAAGTTGCTTGGATGAGGAGTTGCAACTGGTGACTATTTGGAACCAAACGGCCGTTTTTGCCTTTTGAGCAAAACAGCGACAATGGCAATCGTAGGACTGATCTGCTTTTGGAATCATTGCATATATCCTTTCTGTTTCTCAACCTGAATTCAGCGAGCGTGGCACAGAACTTTTCTTCTTCAGCATTGCATCCATCGAAGAACATTTGGTTGGCAATCGTACAATGAGTGAGATTTTGTCAAAGGAAGGTCCAGCAAGGGAGGCGCTCGCAAAGCACATGTATCCCCTGCTCTTGTCTATTTCAGCTCTTCAAAGACAAAGGAGAAGACAAACAAGGATAAACATAACTTCCTAATAAGAATAATAAGACACGCAATAAGAACATCAACACCACCATGTAGTAAGTACTCCTTTTCGGTGGGTGGCTTTTCCTCCGCCGGCAGTGCAAAGGCCGAGTCTGACGTGTAGGTCTGCGCAAGGCAGAAGTATGGTCAAAAAAGCTGACTCGGGCGCCTTCCTACCAGCAAGAGCCCCGAAGTGTCCAACCAAGGCTTTGGGGCGGTGACAGTCAGCGTTAGCCTGACCTGTTTAAACATGTTGAGAGGGTTGTCTAAGCAACCTCTTGTTTGTTCCTTTAAAACGCACCCAGGGCCTGGTTGTTGAAAAATGTGTTGCCTATCCCAGGTGACAATTAGGGTCTTTGCTCGTCAACGATAGTGGCGCTGTTGCACTTAAGAGGACAAGACAGTCCATCATAGTTTTGACAAATGGCACGTGTTGCTGGTCTTCCAAGGATGGTGTCAGGACTTTGTATGACAGGGCCACAGAGGTTTTGAACGTACATCGCATGTCCTTCGCGAGTGGTTGAAACTATTTGCTTCTGTTGGAAACCTATTTGATTGAGTCTACACTATTGACGATGTAAGGGAGCTACATTCGCAGACATACACGCACGCGGCACTGCTTTACTTGAGCTGTCGTGTTGAACCTTGTCAAGGGCATGCCTAGCACATTATCCGCTCCCTCATGGTGAGATCCTTTTTGCAGTCGGCCAACCGAAGACAATGCCAGAAGTTCCTTCCAGTAGGCCGTTTGCAGCTGCCCAGTTATTCACTCCCAGTCAAGAAGCAGTCAAGGAAAATCATATGCAAACCAGAAGAGAGACTGTTGCTATGCCATGTTCAACGGTTCCACAAATTGATAGAAATACCCCATATGAGCCCACTTTCGATTCGTTTGGCGACATCATCGATTGCCCTTTGTTTGGCCGCGCCTCTTCCTTGAAAGGGGCACGAGGAATCCTCGATGCACCTGAACAACAGCTGAGAAAATACGAAAATGAGGGAGGGATCCATTGTGGAATGGAAGCCTGGTGCTCACTTGCTGGGAGATGGAATGTCCCCATGGAGGATGTCAGGATATGTGTGTGTGTGTGTTTTTGAAAGGGAAACCACACACCTATATGGATGGCCATATGGTTCTTTCTGAAACTTGGCGCTAGGTGCTCCCCGTACTATGTTCAATGCCATCCTTTGGCGTCTAAAGACTTGGGGCTGCCTGCTGCAAGGTGTGGGCGGAGAACATATGGCTCGTATGATGTTTGAATGCTTTGTTCCCCACCAAAGGTTGGCGCCCTTTTGCTTCTGCTTTTTGGCATCCAACGATCTTAGCTGCTAAATATGTATATATATATATATATACACACCCCGCTTTCCCTTGGAAATAAGTGAGCGCCATCTTAGAAGAAAGGGATTCATACCTCAGTTTTAGCACCGCATGCCTTTGTGCCTGACCAGCCGAACACCGGGGAAGCCCGGCAGAAACTTTGGCCGACGCGGAGCGTTTGAGGCGGGAGAGAGAGAGGGCCAAGGTAGAATATATCGAGCTTATGGGGAAACGAGCGCAGCAATGAGGAAACCCTTTTACCGGCATATGGCTGTGGGTCAAAACCAATGGTACGATTTGGGGTAGGTGCACCACCCATTTTAGTCTATTTTTGTGGGGATTGGGATGTTCACTGGGGGTACTGGATTTTGACCCATGGCCATATGTCCTTACTCTAATAGTAACTTGCCAATATGGCACTTCAAAGCGGTGAAGGGTGTGTGCATGTAGTGCGGGTTGGGTGTACATACGAAGTCTTACTTCGTAAATCGTTTGATGGATGCCTTTTTTTTCCGTCGTTTGATTCAAAGCGGATGCTGCTTAACGTTGCAGGCACACCATGTGTTTTGCCCCCGTCAAAAGAAACATCGCCGACGGCTGCTTGGACCGACTGACATGGCACCTGACAGGACAATGGACATCAATTTTCTAGTACCCCACAAATGCCATTGGTTGTGGGAGGAAGGGTCGCAAGTTGTCCCGGTGAGGGGCTTTGCCAGGCAGTATTGACTACTCTACTCTCTTACCGTGAGAGGAGGGTATTTGTTTCATGAAACCTTCAAGATGTTTGCTGGACATAAGTCCGCATGAGGACGTACCAAAAGGTCCCGGGTCAATATCAAACCCAGGAGCCAACTTGCGCGTTGATCACTTTCTTTCCCCAACAGTGATGGAAGCGCGCAGGAGGGTTTGGAAGACTATCCTCCTTTTTAATAGGCACCTTGTCCGCTTCCAGAGTTGTTGGAAAGAGGGGGTACTCAGTGGTCAGTTGTCACGCATGTTCCCTTGCACACTATTGCGAGCTACAACACAGTGTTTTACCTACGTAGAAGACTCACTCAGCTAACCACAAAGGAGCAATGCTTCTCCTGGCGATGGGATCTTTTTGTCGTGGACGTCGAACAGTTTGATTGTTTAAGTCGGTGACTGGTTGCGAACAGTTGTGTGACCATTGTGGCTGATCAGAAGCCCTGGACAACTACGTAGATGACCCCATTGTTGATCGCGAAAGGGGAGACAGCTACGATGGCATTCTGTCAATACGGAATTCTGTCAAGTATGATGTTCAGTTTTCAGCTGGGCCAAGTCACCCGGGCAGCTTTCAAAGATGAGCCAACCTTCCCCTTCGCGATCGAAGCCGCAGGCCTCGCGTCTCGCCATGGAGAAGGCGCAGAGGGGGGCGGGGGGGTGTCAGGGGGGTGTCAGCCCGCCTCTCAAAGGCGATATGAACGAGGAGCTTTCTCAAAATTTGCCGTCGCCATCAACATATCGATTGCTGGGTGGCCATTCAAGCAGCTCCAAAGAAACCCCAAACATGCCAAGCAAGAGTTGTGTCATGGGGAGGCCCCGCGTAAGTAGAACCCAGCATGGCGGAAGCCGGCGGAAGCACTTGTTGGGGAGACATGATGCGCAAGCACACGCGTAAGCTCTGCCTCCTCAGAGTCTCCACCTCCCCTTGAATAGTTCTGGCGTGGAGCCAATGTAAGCTACTCTTGAGCGGAAACACTTAAATGCTGATGCATAAGCCACGCGTAGGCTTGACATGCTCGCCGACTGCCGCATAAGCTAAAGCATGGGCCGCATAAGCAAAGCGCCAGCTCGCGCGTAAGCAACATTTCACGACATAGGGATTGATGGCGTGTTTTAAGAGTCGCTGATTTGGAATGTTGATTTAGGAGCATCAATCCCCGCGTAAACGATGCCCACCCAAGGCATCCCGCAACTCATGGTCATTTTTCCATGTACCGAGGAGCGAACGGAAGATGTCCAAACGCAAATCAGTTTATGTGGATGGTTCTGCCGAAAGAGGAGATTCGTCGCAATGCTTCTCAGAGTCAAGTTCCCTGAGCGCAGAATCTTGTTTATCGTCATGTTCATCATTATGCTCAGCATTTGGGTTGGAAGTTCGGGTCGGCCATGTTCACAAGAATCAACACGGAAGCTTCTGGCGCCGTGCCAGAGACATGATCCATGCTAGACCACGCATGTGCTGTGGGATGCACTAGTACTGCATAACGATGTGTACCAACTCTACTAAAGGAACAGGAAAGGACCATTTCGTGAGCTTCCAGCTACCAAACGTGTTGCCTTTGTGAAAGAAGCCCTCGAATCAGGTCTGTGGCTTAGGACACCAACATCAAAGGTGATGACCTGAGTTGGCATTGCCATAGTTATTTATTTGCATTATTCATGTTGAGATTGCGCAGGGTTCCCCAATTTTCCCTTCTTGGTTATAGACTTTAGAGCCTCCGGCTCAGTCCGGCGACATTGTCCTCTCCCTTTTCTCCTTCTTCCTCTCTCTCTCTTGCCTCCTCTTCCGTGTGTTCCGTCCTCCCCTCTCCCTTCCCTCTGCTCCCCATCCTCCCCATCCCCCCAAGCCTCTCTCTTCTCAATCTCCCTCTCTCTGTCTCTCTATCTCTCTCTCTCTCGCTCTCTGTTTCTCTTTCGCTTTCTGTCTCCCTGTCTCCTTCCTGTCCACGCCTCTCTACAGCAACAAGGGTACCCTTATTCTAACCTCTCTACTGGACGACCTAGTCTCTCTCTCTCTCTATCTCTCTGTCTCTCTCTGTCTGTCTTTCTGTGTCCCTCTCTCTCTCTCTCTGTCTTTCTCCGTCTCTTTCTCTGTCTCTTTCTCTGACTCTGGCTCTGTCTCTGTCTCTCTCCCTCTCTATCTCTCTCTTTCTCGCTCTCTGTGTCTCTCTCCCTCCCTCTCTCTCTCTCTCTCTCACTGCATTGCAGCGTCACGTCCCCCCTGAGTTGCCTCAATGTCCGGGTACTGTCCTTCATCACCCTGAACTGTCTGCTTACTACTGGCTTTCCCCTTCATTTCCCCTTCATGTCCTTTTCACGTTTCCCATGATGTCCTTGTCATGTCCCTTCCAGTCCTTTCAACGCCCCCTTCATGTCCCTGTCATTTTCTCGGTATGTCCGCTTCATTTTCCATGTATGTCCGTTCTTTCGTTGCCAGTCATTTCCCTACATCTCCCGTCGTGTCGATTGGTTTCCTTGTCCTTTGTTTCCCTTTCATTCCCTCTGCACTCCCCTTGTTTTCATTTCTGTCCCCTTCATATCCCTTTCAGTTCCCCTTGCTTTCCTGCGAATCCCCCTGCCGGCTCTTTGCTGGTTTGGGTTTCCTGCCTCCTTTTGCCGAAAATCTGGAAAAACTATGCGGGAAAATGCTGGGGAGCAAGGGGGAAATGCAAGGAAGTGCAAGGAAATGAGGGGAGGAAATAGGAAGTCGACATGAAGCCACACCGGCTCCCCGAAGACTACGTTGAGTGGAACGTCATCAAATTACCGCGCGGTGCGTGGGGGAACCCCTCCCCCCTCCGACGTGTAAACCCTGCGTATCAGACGTCGGGTGGGGGGTTAGGGGGGGGTTATCCTCTATCCTCTCTTAAGTATCCGACACACCTCCACAATGTCGGTGGACATCACCGATTGGTGCCTGTCAAGTGAGTTTCTTTAGGTCGAGCTGATGTTTCGAAACATATTCAGTTGTGCCCCTGCAAAAAGTAAGCAATTGTCGGCATTTGAAAAGTCGTACTGCAGTGCTTCTGTCTGAGGCCATTTGCAGTGGCCTTGCTTGTATTGACCTGCTGCGCGGTATGCCGTTTTTGCCCTTGGATTGGATGAAGGCACTTCTATTTTGCTTCTTTGGCATGAGGAACATGAGGCACTGGCAAGTGTTTGGGGAGGACATGCGGGACAGCCCAAGTTTCTCCAGAAAAACCGTCGCAACTCTCGATCGGTTAAGGTAAGGGCAATGACTCAAAGGAGCTTTGGCTTTGCCCAGGGTTAAATTACATCGTGGATTCTGAAGCGATTGAGCTCCAGATGAACCGTTGCCACATGCCGATGAACTCCAAACAAAGACGCAAGAACCCAAGCAAGCAGAAAAGGCATATTCTGACAGATTGATGGCAACAGTGCAAGCTTCGATCTGAATTGAAACTAGGAGGAACTAACTCTGCAGGTAGCGGGATGCTCCTTTCGCCTGTCAGGGATTCACTGCTCGAACTGTCAGGGGCCCCGATGCTTTGCCAAACAGGCGGGCAGGGGGGGGGGGGGAAGGACTCAGCAGGGAGTATTCGCGGTCTTCGGACCGAAGCGGCGCTTGCTGTTTTCTTCCATTACTCCCCAGCCACTGCCGCCAGGAGGAATATAAGGAATGTAGGTCTATACCCGTAGTGCCGGTCACTGCTTCATAAAGGCCTCCCGCCCCAAGAATAAAGCAAAACTAGCACAGTTTCCGGGGCCCCAATGGAGGAACTTCGACAATGTAGGGATCGGAGGTTCCTCCCCGAAGTATTCTCGTGCTAACTACCTGGTTTGGTATTGGTTGAGCATTGCTTAGTGTTTCCTTAGTACTTAGTATTGGGTAGTTTGGGATACTATTAGCTTAGTGTGGGTTGCTATTGTAAAATGTGCTATTTCATGTTTTGGCATGTTGAGTATTGGCGTGGTATTGTTTTGTAGTGTCTTGTGCTCGTTTCGTATCGGTTGGCTTCGGTCCTCTTTGGATCTCTTAGGTCCTCTCTGTTTATGAGTTTTGTATTGCTTATGACTTGATGCGAGCTGGCCGCGAGTGAGGCGCTGCTGGTGGCCTTGATCTTGGAGATCCTGGCGCGGCGCGGCGCCGGGGACTCAGAGTTTCAGCGACCGGTGCCTGGCCGGGGGGGACCTCTGGGACTTCCGGGGGCTCTTCCAGCAATGCGTTGTGGGATAGACTAAATACGGAAGTGAGTCAGAACATGATCATGTTGTTTTTTGTGTGCCCCAGTTGTGGTAGCGGCTATATGGCCATGGCTTCTATTGAGGAGTACTGTCCCAAATTTTGATGTCCACCAGAGGGTTCTAGATAAAAGTCCCACCAAAATGGGTAGAGGGAACATGCCGAAGTCATAGACTCCCCGAAAAACCGTCATTTTGAGAGGAGTGGCCCTTCTCCAGGGACTTGATTTTCGTGTTCCCTCCGTCAATTTGCACAGGAGCATATAATCTTTACCCTTTTGGTCTGGTTGGTTCCTGACTAAATGTCCGAAGGCGAAGGGCCCTATTTTGTGCTGCCATCTGAATTTGAGGGGAGTATCTTTAAACAAAAGACTAGCGCATGCTCAGTGGAAACACACATGCTGTCCACAGAGTTCATGGTAAAGAACTCAACCACGAGTGTCTCGAAGAAATCCAGTCACATATGGGTGTGTCTTAAGTTAGGGGACCCGGCAAATGCTTGGTTTCCTTTTGGTTTCCCTTTAGGACCCATTCCAGAATTGTTCCCCCCCAACAAAACATAGGACATTATCATTCCTTTTGTTCCATTTGAGCAGCTGCATAAAATAATGATACAAGGGGTTTAGCAAAACACACACACATGTGCGCCCTATGATCATGATGATTTGGATCAACAGTGCCCCGCTCCATGCTAACTTGTTCAGGCCTTGCCTTCGGAAAAGAAGAACCCAAAAACACGTGCCTTTAGACTGTCTGAAAAAAGGTACCCTAAAAAGGGCCGCCGCGTCCAGGCCCTTTTGGCAATAGCTGCCGCCCTCGCAAGGGCGCCCAAGTCTTCGCCGAAGGGGCGGAAGCAGTCCGTTTGGGCTTGGTAGGAATGGTCATGTGCCCTTTTAAGCACATTAGACGACCATTGTAAAAAAAATCAGGGAGACATGACCAAGGCCCACGTTTTGATAGTACGTGTGTGCAGGAGGGGTTATGGTTTCGTTCCTAGGAGAGTCATTAAGGCTCCTGGACAAGTTCTTAGAACCTAGGGGATGGGGGCTTTGGGAGTTTTGATAGAAAGCAGATGAAACTGTTTGCTGGGGGTGAGAAGGATACGCACGCACTACATGTGACTTGAGGGATGGCTGAGATGTGCTAGTGCACTCCCCCTCCTCACAAGTGCTTATAGGCCCAAACACATTTGCATGATCCGTTGAGAGATCTTATAGGAGCTGAATATAGTTTTGTTCAATATTGCCCAACAGTGGAATTTGAGGATAGGCTGTTTGCCACTGAAATACAACTCATGTTTTCTGGTTTTCTTTTGGAAACCAATCACATGGAATTGGACACTGGAACTTTCATGAACCATCCCCTTCCCAAAACCCTTGAGTTCTTGAGAATGAATCCGAGGGTCCCCGGGTCCCGCGGTGGATCATTTAGATTCAGAGCGGACTCAAGGGGAGCGAGCCATTACAGCCGGAACTCGTGACTCATAAATAGTGACTAGTGACCCTCTTTTGGGACATTCCGGACTATAGCCTGATCTGGCTCGCCTTGCGAGTGGGCTGTACTGTTATGGATTAAAGTGACAATGTAGTCATTGGTATGCGAACCCCACTCCGGTATCAGGGTTTTCTCCACAACATCCTCATCCGTGGATCATGGAAGTGCCGTCGGGCTAGTTGCCAACGAGCAAAGGCCTTCTGGGGCAGTTCCACTTGGCCGGATACCAGGCGCGTGTTTGTTTTTCGAGCACGGCCGCGTGGGACGTGAATGTCGCAGTTACCTTCCAGCAAATGGCCGGTTGGGTGTACAGTTCCCTGTTTTCCAAGAACCAGCGCCTATTGAACCGGAAGCTTAATTTGTCCGGGAAGCCAGTCTTCCCCAAAGCGCGTTTGCATATGTTTGTTGGTGGCGGGGTACGCACCAAGGCTGGCGATTGGACCACCCGTAATTGATGGAGCCCTGTGGCAAGGCCTCCAAAGTACATGTGGCCAGTAGCTGTGTGCGGCGATGTGGACACTTGACAAGGGCTTTGCGATTGTTGCAACTTGTGCATGGGAATCCTCCCAAACTTTTGTGACTATGGCAGAACTATGGAAGGAGACAAACGAACAGGTTGGATTGGGAGATGTCGGTCAACTTTCAAGGACATGCTTGGTAGCTGTGATGCCACCCCCTCTCTAAAGCTTCCCACTCAGTCCTGAATCATGTTGCTTGCCAAGTGGTCATGCCCATTTGTGTTTTCGAAATGCTCTTTTGGTTCGATGGTTTGACAACTTTGGGATAGTAGACGCGACAACTGGATCATTCTCGTTCCCCGAGCAAAACAACGCTTTGCTGATACAACATCACTCATGGCCAATAAATTGTGTCCACTAAGTGCCTCATTTGAAGACAGGCTCCATGTTGGAACGCTCACGTTCGCCGCTTGCGCTTGGTTTGCGTTTCATAGGTTGCCATTTTGAGAAGAGCCGGCCTTTCAACCTTTTCGCCTTCGGCGTTAAGTAGGCAATAAGTTTCGATCAACCCAAAGAGGAACCAAAGCGGGATCATCTTTTGATTGGCCAAGCCCCCCATTTAGCACCCAGTTGTCCATTTGGTGGCCTGACTTTCGATGTGCTAAGCAACCCGAGCGGCAGACCCAAACCGGCGAGCCGTTTGGATGGTCAGCCAGTGGGTTGCCTCCAAATCCTTTCACCACTTTTTTCGTGGATGGGGTTTCTCTTGAAAATCAACCACACAAAAAGAGTGTCGTTTTTCTCCCATGGCCACTGGGGGTCCGAGATAATTAGCATGATTCCCCACCCTCCCCGCTCAGTGGATATTTAGGCCCGTTTGTCGGGAAACCAAACGGAAACCAACTAGGAGGAGTCCTACTTTTGAAACTCGCCCTCGCAAAGTGTTGAACCTCTCTGGTCCCCCTTGAAGGTGCCATCTCGTTTGACAACCGATGTCTTGCTTTACTGCGTTTTCTTGTTTTGGCCGGTTTGGCAGAATTGTGTGGCCATCTAGTGCAGTTTGGTTCTAAACATACACCAGTGACATCTATTCCAATGGACACCTGGGCCTCGGGTGAGTCAGGCAGTCAATTTGGGAGCTGCTCCGGTCCCGTCAGCCCCACAGCCTTTGGCGACAGGTGCCATTGGGATGGGCGGGGAGATACGACGCCTCCGGACTTGCCCGATGGATGAGCGACTTCCAAATGATACCTCGGGTTGCATGCATGTCCGCGAGCTTGATATGAGTATCTTCAGAATGATATACGGTGTAATTTGCGCATGAGCTGTTTGTTCAACATATGCATACAGAACCAACTATGCACATCCGCAGCCATTATGCGGTTGAATTGAGGGCACGATGTCTGTCCGGACCTTGAGGGATCAGGAACACTACAATTGTGTACTCCTTAGACAATCTACGCGGGACAAAAGGGTCTACACGCAGGGAAACCACTGAATTGTGCTATCAGTAGAGGCAGAACAGTTGACTGTGAACGTGGGGTTCCATGTTGTCGACATATCGGTGTGCCGTGTTGTACTTGAACCCCACAATGGTGGTTTCCCTTTTGGTGTCGCTTAAAACCACAGCAATGGAGGGGTTGCCGTGGGGCTGCCCTCAACAAAATCAAAAGGCACACCCATATTTGTGTCCTCATGGCTGTTGGATGAACCCAACCAGTCGTAAAATGGCCGCGTGAGGTATCCGCATGCTGTGAATGATTTGTGTGGCCGTCGCCCTTCCTGCCACGCAAGCTTTAGCACACGCTGCCTGTACTCGAACAGGCCATTTGCCATGAGCAAATCTTTGTTTTTTATGCAGACCAGACGGAGTGCGCAAGCTCAACGCTACCTCTCGCAGGCTGATGGAAATTGTCGCACCCATAATATATTCGCCTACGTCAACATGATTTACAGTTTGTGCGTTTGGTTTTGGGGCAATGCTCGTGCACATCTAGATCCCATACGCTACCGGTGTAGCTCATGTAATTAGTCTGTTGCGGGGCGGGGTCTGTTCTCCCAATAAGAGGTCCCCCCCAATGTAATCAGTGTTTGGGGTTGCATTTCCACCAACAACCTACCCATTTCACCCAACTTGCTCAAGTGAGACCCCAAGTGTTCCAAAACAGAAGTCTTCCCTTCCGTGCTTTTTGGTGGGGCAGCCGCAACACAAGAAGCCGCCGGGATTGGGAGGGGTCCTTCGGTTTGGTCCCATGTCGGGGCTGGAAGCCTTCCTGCGGCTGGCGCAGCTGGACAGCGCGCTGGACCAGGCGCGGCGCCGGTGGCTATGAAGCGGCGAAGTGGGCGGTTTGGTTTGGCGGTTTGGGGTTGTTGCGGGATGGTTGGTTTGGTTTGGGAGCTTAGGGATTTCTCCCACTCCCTGAACTGCTTACTTTCTGGGAAGACCATTTTGGTGGCAAACAAATCGGACTACAATGCAGGAGGTCCTTTTTTCCTTTGCTTGGTTCGGTCCTCCCAGCCCAGACCTTCAGTGGAGCACTTATTTATTGTTTTTTTTGGAGGGGGACACCCTCCTTTTCACGATCATCAAGCCAACAAAAATGGGGGCCCCTTTCTGTCCCAGTGTTGAACATTTGGGCCAGAGTAAGCAGAACCAAACGCCGCCGGAGGTTCCCTTCGCTCGATGTCCCGCTACATGTACCACCAAAAAGGCCACCAAGAAGACACACACACACACACGCACGCCTAGAGAACGTGGGGGCTGCAAAAGGACGGCGAAAGACCGGCGATCACTTCCAGGACTTGACTTTTTCCATGCCTATTTTGTTCACTTTCCCCTCCAAAGCCTGGTTCCCTCTGATTTCCGACTAAAGCCACCCCAAAACCATTAATATAGGGGGCACCACAATCACCCAGAATCAAGACTAAGTTTGGGACCTTTGCAAAGCTACAACCAACTTTTCAAATGATTTAGGCCCTTCTACAGGGCTCCCTACACTTCCTCTCTAAGCAGCTCCTAATTCAAATTGGCTTCAAACGCGATGATTAAAATCACCCAACAGGGGGAAATATTCGAACCTCGTGTTGCACTCCGAAAACGGGCGCGACTTGGCCCGTGATGTATGCCATGCTGGCCAGAAAGCCACGCAGCTAGGCCCGGGAGTTCTGCAAAGAGATGGGCGCTGTGGAGGCCGCGCCGAAGGTTGGCCATGGCTCACTTCTGTCCTTTGTAGACTTTTGTGGAGCTGTTGTTTTTGTGTTAGACTTTTTTAAAATGAAGATTTTGCAGGCTATGTCCTATTTTGGAAAATCACCCTTCTTGGGCTCGTCCTATTTTGACACATCGTAAACGGGCTTTGTAGTGTAGTGCCCCAGAGCCTAATTTTAATTGTTTTGGCCCTTGCAGAACGGGACACTCCGGCCACAAAGAAGCAGAAAAAGAAGTGCCAGCAGGTTCTTTTCCTCGGCGGGTGGCAGCAATCGACCCCCACCTCCAAGCTTTCGTGTTTGACCGATCCCAGGATCAAGGTTCCTTTCTTCGGGGTTCCTTATGTCAGCTTGGCCAATGAATTAGATTTCGGCCAGTGTGGCCTAACACACCGAACTCTTTGAATGACGACAGGTTCTTATTGAATTCCCTTACGGTCAAAAGAAGGTCCAGTCAGTTGAGACGGTTTTGGATTGGCAAATTGTCAGCAAACCCAAGCGCCGTAGAGTCTTAGCTCTCCGTGTGCCGAGAAAGCCCTGGGCCTCCTGGATGGGTAGGTCCCAGCTGCTTAGATCTCGCCAGGTCCGTGAGATCTTGGAAGAGGAAGAACTGTGCCAAAGCTTTGCACAGCACCTGCAGCTGCCGCTCGGCCAAAGAAAAGGAGAATACACAATTGACGCTGGAGGTCCTTTGGTTTTGGGTAGTCGCGTTGTTCACTTGAAGTTGGGCTATTGGTTTGTGTTGCGTTTTCATGGTTGTCTAGGTGATTGGTCCTTTGTTGGTTACAAGTCGGCTGGTGCAGAAAGGCTGACGTCGACTTTGTTGCTTCTGCATGGTCAGGTATTCAATTGTGTTGGCTGGCAAGCGGATTCCCCTTAGATTGGCCGTCGTGAAGCCGCTTTATTTCGACAGTCTTAGGAGGGCTCGCTTGTTGATCCCATAGTGGCGAGTCAGAGAAAAGCGGTTTCATGGTTTGACCAGTGCAAGCTTGAACAGCATGGGCGATCCAGCAAGAGGGCAACCGGGCAAAGTACCTGTGCCTGTGCCGCCTCTCCGGTCGGCTGGAGTCCTTCCTCATTCCTCAGTCCAAGTAAACACTGCCTTCTCGTTGAGAGGAGATTCCTATTGCCGGTTCATCTATGCAACGCCTAGATGTTGGCACGGATGTGGTCTCAAGTGCTGAGAAAAATGTGGTTCACCCTGAGTCATCGCAACGTGCGGTCTCCTATGAACAGTGCCTTCGCTCCTCAACAACAGCACGGTAGTCTCAGAAAGCCCCCTTCCTTGTTTGCGCAGCCTTTAACGGAGCCTCCAAGAAGACATGGGGCACATAGAAAGTGAGCGCGCGGTGTTCGCCGAAACAGGTTAAGACAAATGTCGTCTCTGCAGGTTGAGCAAGCATTTTTGGCATAACTTCCTTGTGATTGGGTTTGCATTGACCCTGGTGGAGCGGACAAGCCGGACTTCCAAGTCCAGTCGTTCTGTGTTATCCGATTTCTGCTTGTTTGGTGGCTTCTCCACCAAAAGGTCGGCCCCCAAGTGCGTTCCCTTTTCCAGGGTCGCTGAACAACTGGGCAGCGGAAGCACCCGAATTTTAATGCTCGCATGTATGCCAAAGTCAAACACCTGTTTACTTGCCCTCATGGGTATCTCGTGGTTTCCCTCGTGGAAGAAGGTGCAATGGTTAATGCGCCTCTAAAAAGGCACTCACAAAAGGGAGTCCCTGTTAAGGAAAACATGGCCACGTCCCACAGAATCGCAGTTTGAGCAATATGTCAACATAAGGGGGAAGCAGAATAATGCGTGCGGTGTCCTTTTGGTTTCCCTGAAAAAAAAAACCTGCAAAGAGCACCGACTCCAGAAAACGCACAACCCATGCCTGACGCCAGGAAGCCTCTGGAGCGGAAGCGGTTACAAAGCTATGCCGCGCAGGCCTCGAACTCCGAACTTCGATCCGGGCGAATTCGATTCGGCGAGTCGAGTGGCGTAGCAGACGGCCGCCGGGGGGCCCAGAAACCATTCCTAAAAAGGGCTAGGTGGGGTATGCCCCATGAAACTTGGGGTATGTGAGTAGGACCTTAGCGGACAGTTGATGTGGGGGAATTGTCGTTGTTCGAGGCCCCGACCAATTCTTTGGTCCCATAAAACATAAAATGCAAATTGAGTCGCTCGCTGGGTGGATCCCCCAGACTGACCCCCACAAAGAGCGACACGTAGGTGGTCACCCCACCAAAAAGGTACCTTCGATTCCTTAGCAAAAAGACAAGCATGCGTTGGTGATTATTCCTTCCCTCTTGCCTTTCTTTGGAAATTCCTCCTGCGTTGTGAATCGCTGTCCGACATTGCCGTAGACATGGATTTCAAAGCAAGGGGTCCATCCTTATGATTAAGTTACACGGGCTCAGTCTGGGTTTGAGTCATTGACTTGGCACTCCCCTGCGGAGTAATTAACATGGAACCCAAAAACCATAATCTCCCTTTGCGGTACCCCTTTTGAGTTTCATGTATCTCTTTAGGGAGCAACCAAAAGTTGAACTTCTGTGCTCTCCAACAGGTGTGCGCGAATCCTCAGCTACTGGAAGAGGCCACAGCTGAGGAGCTGGGGGTTTTTCATATGCCGGATGGGAGGCTGGGCGTTGCTGAAGATCAGGCTTTTGGCCATTTGAACCCTGCAAGCACGACTGAAGATTTGTGAAAGTTCAAAGCGGCCAAGGGGAGAAATTGATCGCCATGCGATCATTCAGAAACCTGAAGGTGTCCGGCCGAATTTCCATGCCGGTCGCGTGCGAAGATCCTCCTCTGGTAAAGTAGGTAAATGCGCAACCCAATGCTAGAAACGTAGCTTGAGCCGTCTTAGTAGCTCAATTATTGGTTGGATATTGTGACTGTGGCATTTGTGGCCTGTGGCACGTGACGCGCGACCCGCTTCGCGCTTGCTTGCATATGTGTGGGTTCCACAGACATTGGTGG